ACGAACATCGAACTCCTCTCCAAGATCAAGCATTGATAAAAGAACCTGCAACTAAATCGAACCTATTAGTATTCAATCTTCAATCCTGGAGATAAAAACTAGTAAATCAAACAAAATTTACCTGTGGTTGTTCTCTAGTTGCTGCCAAACGTAAAACATTTCTCAATTGGCCCCTCATATCAACAGCTGGACTACGCATCACAACTTTACCACCGTATGCAAGCAGAAGATGAACAACACGAGGATCAACCTAGAATTCACGGATTGGTGACAGATGTTTAGGGTTTGAAGGTTCCATTGCGTAAGGAAAAAAAACGTGCTTACCGTATCCCTTGAGCGGAAATACTCCACAAACGGGCTCTTCAACTGTGACCCATCCGGGAATCGATGCTGCATGTTTGGATCAGCACCAGCCTCCAGAAGGAGGCGAAGAATATCGTACTGATTTTGGAGAACTAAAGCAATAAACTTCTAAAAAGCGGAAAAAAAAACTTAGAAAAAGGCATTTATGTACCCGAACAAGCAGCAAGATGCAATGCTGATCCGATGTAGGTGTGAACAGCGTTAATATCAGCTCCAGCATCAATGATAATCTGAAAAAGAGGAGTGATGAACGAAAAGTAGAGAGAAGGCTGCAAGCGACAAGTTTACCTTAAGCAGTTCTGGATCGTCCTTAAGAACAGCAATGTCGATTATAGACGGTTTTTCATAACCCTTTGGCATAGTAACTTTTGCTCCAAGCTGGAACCACAAAAGTTAGTTAACTAAGGCAATAATTGTTTCATTCAAGAGCGCAATTGTTCATTAAATAAAATTCATCAAAATTACGTAAATAAGAAAGAACTCACACTAATTAGGAATTTCACCAATTCCGCACTACCACTGAGCAGCGCATAATGCATCGGAGTACGGAAATCTTGTCGTGCTTCAGCTTGTGCATTAACGTTTCCACCATATTTATGTAAAATCCTGAAATTCACATTCTGAAACAAAGTTAATCATAATTTTTCACTTTAGATTCGCAGATATGTTGACGCGTAAGAAAACTTGATTAGTTAACATTAAATATTGCAGAAATCATAGGCAAGTTGAATAATTGAGAAGAAATTTATTGATAAAAGTACCTGATTGCTTCGATACCGTTCTCCTTCAATCGACAAGCTTTCATGATTGGTGTTAGACCTTTCCGATCGTACACATTTGGATCAGCACCATACTCGAGCTAAACAGATATTATCATAGTGTACTAGCGAGATAGAGAAGTTAAGATCGAAGCAATTGAAAGTTCTTGAATCCTCACCAGTAGCTCGATAAAATTTGTGTCCAAAGGGCTAACAACGGTGATTTCTGGGCCATCGAAGTAAATGGCATTTGCGCTGGCACCATTCTCTAAGAGAAGCCTGGCGCATTCATAATGTCCATTCTAA